ATTCTATTCTATTCTATTCTATTCTATTCTATTCTATTCTATTCTATTCTCAAATGCATTCATTTAAACACAACTTCCTAAAGTGACTTTTGTATTAAAGGCATATTTTCTGCAGGTCAATCAATGCCATCTGAAACTTTTCATTCCAAAAGGCTCAGTCAATTGAGTGCCCTCAATGAAGTCAGAATGATTCCTGTGAATGTTTATTGTTTAACAGAGAAGAATCTCTGAAGCCCATCCCTTGCAACATCAGCAGAACATTTGCTTGTGAAGCCTATTTTATATGTGGCATTCAGGCAGGTTTTTAGTGCAGTGTCTAGAGGTGAAGATGCTCACCTCTCACTCAGAAGGATGAGAATTCAATCCTAGGCAGAGACAGATGTTTCTTTATCAGGGTGCATAGAGAAAATATCTACTGTGAACTCCGTGTAAGGCATCAGGAAGGGTGATCGGCCAGTAAATGCTCAGCAACATTCCATCACCCTGACTCCACCCCGAATAATGGGATTAAAGAGTTGTAAAAAAGAAAAACAAAGTGGATTTTTAAAACTCATTTGATTACGTTGCTGCCTTTAATAGTTCAAATGAATGAAATGTTAGTCGAAGTCATAGTTCCAGCACCTTTTTTTCTCCCTTGTTCTATGGTGTCCTACCTGGATATTCGTCAGGAGGGTTTCTATGGAGGACAATCCATCAGGAAATAGAAAAGGAGATGGGAATCCAGGAGGAAGAGGTTGTCCGTGGCCAGTTAGCGAAAGTTTGTCAAGGCTGTCTCTTGTGGTTGGTGTGGAGAGCGGGGTCTCATCTGTATGTGATTGAAACAAAAATATAGAACAAGTTACGCTTGTCTGTTTTTATTAGACCTCAGTAATGGCTTCCCTAGTGATTTCCAGAACATTTATTGCAAATTGGTTCCTGCTATCAGAAGAAAATGCTTTCTGCTGAATTTTCTTTAATGAAAAAGCAGTGGAGATACAACCAGATAGCATTAATGAGTAACTTTATTAGCCTTTTAAATGCAGCTTCTAATGAGACTGAGTTTACAGTGCCATAGAATCTTTTTAAAACTAATATTATCTCACATATATTTGTGATAATATATTTAAGGCTGACTTTATGGGTAAGTTCCCAATTATCTCATTTTAGCCTGTGCACTGTCTGTATGGACAATGGAACGTTTCTTGCTATGATACATATTTTATATGGACCACTTATGATTTATGTTCAAATTATTCTGTGTGTTTATCCAGAGTCAACTATCTCCTTCAACAGCAGCCCATTTAACTGCCCATTTCTGAAGAGATAATCTCCACTCCAACAGACATCTTAGAGATGTGAAATTTTTGGTCTTCGCTTGCTCTCCACATATTCATTCCAAAGCTGTTTTCAGAATATTGAAATCAGGAATTTCACTTGGTATAGATACTACCAAGCCTTCAGTTTTTCTGAATACAGACTCTTGTTTTTCATCACCTCATAATAATTTCTACAATTAAACAATGTTTGTGCATCAAGAAAACTACAGCATAGTTCATCTGAAAATAACTTCAATGTTTCTTCCCTATTTTTCTTGGCAACAAGTTCAGATAGGAGGTTGTTGGGGTTTTTTGCATTTTAAAAGAATCTCCCTCAGAAAATTCCATTACAAAGACAATAGGTAGCAATGGCAGTCTTGACAGCATAAGCATTGGCGGTAATTTATTTTTTAAAAGAATAATTTGGGGAGCTATCCTTCTGCTTTGTAATTTGCGGGGAAAGTATTAAACATAGAGAACTATGGGAAAACTTTTAAACAGGAAAAGGAATGATTAAGTTATAACTGCGGCTAGCCTAAGACATTAGTTTTTCAGTATAAAGCATTTTGATTGTTTTCTCTAAAGTAGCTGTTAAAAAAGATTAAAACTCTTGTTTATGCAGAAGTACCAAAAAGGAGGAGGAGGAGGAAGAAGAAGAAAACTTGTACAAGAAAGTAATTCTTCTGAATTTTAATAAATATATAATCTATGCTGAGTTACTGCTAAAAAACCAATTCAGTGTAGTTATTTAAACTTTTGTCTCATTTTTGGCCTCCTGAGGAATGAACAAGTGTTTAATTTTGCAAATTAAAGTGTTGTTAAAAGAAGATGTAGAGTTTTATGGATGTTTTTACTGCACTGTAAGCTGCTTAGAATTGAGGGAGGGAGGGAGGAAGGAAGGAAGGAAAGGAAGGAAGGAAGTTTTTTCTCCAAGTCTGATTTTAATCTCAACTCTTGATCACAAGAGCAAAAACAAAAAAACAAAACACCAAAGATTCAAATTACATCAAGAGAAATAACATTGGTGATAAAAGGAACTTCCTATTTTTATTTTGCTTAAGAAAAGTGAAAATGGGAACTCTATCACCAGTCTCTATGATATTCTGTATTTTCCCAATGCTTTGGGTTTCATCTGAACATTTTCAGTGCTTTTATTTCAAAGCTGCAAGCCTTGTCTTTGCCTTAAAGGTTTTTAACGGTTGGAATCATAGCTATCGTTAAGAGTGTGTCTGTATAATGCACACACAGATCCTTTGTTTTTCTCTTCACTTTCTGAGTACCTTCAAACTAGGAAATACTTGTTACTCATGTACATGTAATCAGTCCTGTCTGAATAAAACATTTTCTTTTATACAATCACTAACTGTTTAACTGAAATAACAGTAGCTATACTGACCTATAATGTCAGAAGAAGGGATTGAACTTAAGTTGAACTATTTTTGATGAATGTTTAACTTTAAGACAAATAATCTCTCATAATGCGACTTTGTGTGTGTGATGGGGTGTTTTTTTTTTTTTTTATATCCTGCAAGAAATAAACTCTGGGTGAACATATTGGAAAGAAAACAAATGCATATCTCATATACAGGAAGAGAGGCTATTTGTAGATGCAAGATAAGAGATGACTGAGAAAAACTTTGGGAAAAGTCCTGTTTTTAAAGGAAAAGCAACCATGTTGTAAATATGAACTAATTAAAAATAGCACAACTGTCTTTAAACATAGCAGTGCCATAACCTTGCTTCTAGCAAATCATTAACAGGGTGTGAGGGATGAAGATGCTTAATTCCTTTTGCATAAAAACAACCAAAGGATACCACATGTTCTCAAAGACTTTGTGATATCCCTAAGCAATGTTTGTTTATGCCATAAAGTTTCTCACTGATCTTTCCCATCAAGACCACCTCTGATGCTCAGAATGATTGCAGAAGGAAGAGGAGGTGAAAAATATTCACCCTTTTACTGATGGAATTGTGCTTAAAAGTGAATTGTGTTGTGGCCTGCCAGCAGCCACTGGAGCGGGCAGCAGACTTGGACAGTGAGGAGGTTGGGGAGGAACATGGGCCAATTCTGAGGTCTGGGGAAGGATCTGACAAGTGCTCTGCATCGGAGGCAGAGATAGGACCAGCTGCCTTTGGAGTTGGAGATCAGTGGGGCAAGAGAATTGCTGGAGCCTGTTCCCAATGTGTGCATGAACAGAGCTGCCAGGAGAAGGGGGAAGTTAAGAAACAAGGATTGACTTGGGAGTAAAGGCACAGGTGGATGGTGAATGGCCCCTTCCAGAGGGAATAAAGAAGAGTGAAAGGGAAGTGGGGTTTGCAGGAGACAATTAGTTCATTTAATTAGGGTGAAGATTTGTTCATGACTCTTTGCCAAGTATTTTCTGGTACAGCGTGGTGCGTGGAAGCTATCGGCCTGGCAACTCTCCAAGCCTGATAAGGCCTATGGTTGTAAATCACTCTTGAAAGACTGCCGGGACTTTGCTGGATGTGAATGATAGGAAGCCTAATTAAAAAGGGGCTTTGTCGAGATGAGGGGTCTGCTTCATGATTTTGTAAAGCCTAGGGCAGAACAGTAAGTCAAAGATTATCTGTATTGTATTGCAAGGCCCATGTTCCTACAGAGCAGGGCTGTCAAACTCATGGCCCGCAGGCTGTATGTGTCACATGTTGGCCACACCCACGCCCAGTTTAGCAGAGGGGGAAAAAGTCCCAATGCATCACTTAATGCTGCCATGACAATGTGAATTTGACACACACACACACACACCAGTACAGAAGGTAAACTGTTCTGAACTGAGATAGCCATTTCAACTTTTCAAGCTCCAAATTACACTCAACTACACTCAAGCATGCAAGAAGCAGAGCATTTTAGCTTATATTTCAAATGTAGCATGGCTTTTATTTAATTAGACTATTTCACTATTTAGAAAAAAAAACTTGGGGTGCCAAGTTACTCGACTCTGATAATCCGATTACCAACCTTTCAATCTATCAACTGCCCTTTTTCTGTCTTTCAACCACAGCTTGGTCTATCTCAATTAGCAATTGTTATGTTTCTTCACAGGTTGCTAAGTTACAAACATGTATTTCAAGGGAAATAAAAGAACAGGCCTTCTTTTCTGACTACCATCACTTCTTTCCCCAAATGACACAGTAGAGGTTGGCCTTCTTCCAATCTTCTTTCCTCTTATAAAACTTCCTTTCTTTCTTCCTTCCCTTCCTTCCACCCACCCATCCATCCACCCACCCATCCATCCATCCATCCATCCATCCATCCATCCATCCATCCATCCATCCAAGCAGTTTACAAAGCAGTAAAAACATTCATTCTTTCCTTTCTGCCTTTCCTTGTTTCTATCCTCTGCGAAGCTAAGCCAAGCAACTTCTTCTCAGTCATCTATGTAAATCTTAACATTCCTCCTCCCTTCACTGAAAAGATGTGCAAGAAGCAAGGAGAAGAAAAGAAAAAAAAGCTTTCCTTTCATTGTAGAAGTTAAAATTTGATTATTTCCTAAGCTATTGGAATACATTCCGTAACACAAAGATTACAAAAGCTGTTTGCAGAGATATTCACTGATGCGGCTAAAATCACAATTAGATTTGAGGCAAAGGTGGAGGGACATGGATATAGCTTTTCATGCAAACAGTTCATTAACAGACCGAATCTAATAGTTGTGCAACAAAGTGTTTTTACTGTAGTTTCCATTTCACCACCCATCATTTACTGCATCCTGTCGGTAGTTGGAATAAGCCCTTGGAGCAAGGCGATGACTTCTTATTCCATGGAAAGGTCAGGCATGTTTTCAGAAGTTTGCACTTTTGTTTTGAAGTACGTTATAAAAAACCCCATGAATCAGAAGAAGATGGAAAAGCTTTTCCAAGCTTTTAATATTTTCTTTGGAGAACTTCCAAAGCAGTAAAGGTTGGCCATTTCTAATCTCTAAAGTGCGATTAAGGTAAGACACACAAAAGCACAATTCTCACCAAGACAGTTGTGAAATTGGCACCTGGATGAGCAGTTTTACCTTCCATGTCAACCTCCAGAGTTTGCAGTCTTGCTAATAGCAGGTGAATAGAGATACGTGGCTTTCTTTAGTCTTCAATCCGAATATGAAAATATTATAAAGTATGAATGTAAGGGCCTCTTGATTTTTGTTTAATTTTAATTATGCACCCACAATGTCAAATAAAGGGCAAAGAACACAGATTTTTGGTTCCATCTTTGAACTGAGCTTTATCAATGTAATTTGTTTTGACATATGCTGCGTTGTCAGTCTTAGAAAAGAATTACTTCCAAACAAAGCCTTGGGGAGAATAAAAAATTTGAGAAGAACAGCTGGTTTTCTGTGAATCTCCTGTGATGAGGACCTATTACTAATTTGCAGAAAGTCCTATGGATTATGGGTGCTGGTTTTTCTTTCACTAACCTCATTTCAAATGCCAGGGGAAAAGGTTAAATAAACCTTTAAGTATGAGATTCTACCTAGTTTATATTTATTACTATTAATAA